GGAAATCCTCAGAAGTATTCCAGATCTAAACCTGAAACTATAAATCTTAGATCCATTTGTAAATTATACTTTTAACTATACTTGAAAATATGTTAAATAAGACAAAATCCTGCCCAGTAATTTAGTCTTCCAATCATTTAGCTATAGTCATGTAACCAATCTGAATTTATTTATTAAACTTTGAGCTAGGTATGAGACTTACGGGTAAGTGAACATTTGAATATATTTAAAATCTGAATCGGGTCCAATGTGAAATGCTGCATCTTTATAGATTAAATTAGTATTGATAGATGCTAAGTAGATAATTCCTTTATAGTAGATAATTCAAGATCACGTGAAGTATTAACACCACTTTATAAAGCCTTAGTAAGACCACACTTAGAATACTGCATCCAATTTTGGTCACCATATTATAAAAAAGATGTTGATTCTGGAAAGAGCGCAGAAAAGCTATTTCCAAAGCACCACAAGGCAAGGCAAGAAACAATGGAGGGAAACTAATCAAGGAGAGAAGCAACCTAAAACTAAGGAGAAATTTCCTAACAGAACAATTAACCAGTGGAATGGTTTGCCTTCAGACGCTGGGGTACGCCATCACTGAAGACTTTTAAGAAGAGACTGGACAGTCTGGAATGGTATAGAATTTCCTGCTTGAGCAGAGGGTTGGACTAGAGGTTCCTTCCAACTCTGTTATTTTGTTTTGGAGTTATCCTAACTATGAAATTATCTCTGTAGATTTACTTATAGGTGTTTTTATCGGTCTGCATTGCACTTTTTGTTTTTATTATTAAATTTATATGCTTCAAATCTCACTCTGAAAAGTGACTTTGAGCGGCTTTTATTATTTGTCATGCTGAGTATTTATATCTATACTAAAAAGGGGAAACGTTCTATAGAAACGGATTAATTTAGAAATTAAAGAATCAGAAATAGTGCTTCCCAACTAAAATTTAATGCAAAACTATTTAATATTCATGGTGCAACCAGAACATATAAAACAGTTGACTTTTCTCTTGTTCCTATTATATGAAAAAATCTTCTAATGAGTAGTAATTATTATAAGGATATTTTTACATTAACAATAGAGATAAAAAAAGGTTATATACAGTCCTTTAGATCAGTGTTTCTCAACCTTGACAATTTTAAGGCATGTGGACTTCAACTCCCAGAATTCCACAGCCAGCATCGCTGGCTGTGGAATTCTGGGAATTGAAGTCCACATGCCTTAAAATTGTCAAGGTTGAGAAACACTGCTTTAGATGATCAATTCATCAGCCATAAATCTTGGGGACCCTTGGTTTAGATGTAACTGACTGATTTATAAAAATAAATACCGGTACCGGGCCGCAGCATGCCATGTACCAGGCCACGCAAACAAGCAAAGCCCCACCTGCAACATATAGGCAGCACACAAAACCAAACACCCTCTGGTCCGCAGAAAAACCTCTCTCCAAGGAACCGGTCCCTGGTGCCCAAAAGGTTGAGGACCTCTGATCTAAACAACTGTCATTAAAATTTCTGCATGTTACTTCTTTATAGTACTTCTATATAGTACTAACAAGAAATATGATTCTGAACCAATCAGTTATTATAACCAAAATATCCAGGAATGTTGAGAAATCTAACTTGCAAAAGAAATATGTTAAACTCACATAATTCTTAGTGCTGTCTTATATATGATTTCACTCTCAGTAAGATATATACTTATCTTCCTTTTTATGTTACTATATTCCGTATAAATTGTAGCTTGGAAACAGACTGGGATTTTTAATACTCATAATTTAATACTCATTTTTAATTATCATAAAATGTTCTTTTAAAAATGAAGTGCATCAATATATATTACAACTTCGAAATAAACTTTAATGTAGGAGTGGGAAACTTAGGATATCCAGAAACAATTTTGTTTTCATTATCACTGGCTATGCTGGCTGCAGCTGGGGTTTTTTTTTTTTTAACTGGCTTAGCTGGTGTTTTTTTAAAGTAAAATTTACTAAAGTTCTGCCAAGTTTCCTCTTTTAATACAAGCGACAGGAAGAATGATAAAGCAGTAGTGGTTTTTTACTTTTCCACTGGTCCTCAAAAGACACGACCAAAGAAACAAAAGCAATTGGCATTTGCTTTCTTAGAATCAGTGGAAAAGAAGTAGGGGGCTCTGTTAACTGCAGTCCAGATATAACACCTGGCTATTCCCATGATTAAAGCAGAGGAAGAGGTTGAATTCCAGAAAGGGATTTTTTAAGCAGGCTTCATTTCTATTTAATTTACTCATGGGAGACAAGCACCTTAAAGTTGCAGTGCAAAAAAAGTCCTCGGCACTTTTAATCACAACATGACAGAAAAAAATCTAAAGCATGCACGAACTGTAAGCTATAGCGTTTTATTACACAAATGATTAGATAATGGTAGTTGGAGATGCTGCTGCATTCAGTACATTTTACTCCATTCTATACAGGTTAACATTGTGCTCTCTTCCAATATATAGAATAAGACATAAACTTAGCTTCTTTCAGACAGCATTGTAAAATAGTGAGGGTGAAAGGGTGGTGGTCTTTTTAATTCAGGCATTAAGATATTGCCTGTTAGAATTTATTAGAAAATGATAGTAGCATAGCAACATGGCCCAGCTGCAAAATCAGAAATGGTACCACCATTGCAACAAAGGCTGAATTCACAAACTGAATATTTGAGTTGATGAGCTGTATCTTCTAGGAAAATTCTGTTTCTTTTTCTCAACCAGTTTAATAGTGTCTCACCATCCCAACTGCATCTAATGGCCTCTAAGTATATTTATTCCTTTTCTCCTGTAGCTTTTTTTAAATTTAAAGATACTGTTGAAGGAAAAGTCTTCATAATGGTTCAGTCCAAGCTGGGAATAAACAACATGGCGACTGCTTTAGAAAGAAGGATGCAGTTTTTTGAAGGAGAGCCAGACAGAAAGATGGCTCTGGAAGAAAAAAGAGAGAGAACACATATAGGGAGTGGGTTTTTATACCCTCTGGGGCCTTTGTTTGGAGTTGTTTCCTGTTCCTGTTTGAGGCTTTGTATTTCCTGTGTCATGTATTCTGATCTGAGTCTGGGTTTGCCCTTTGGCATCTGTGGGTTAATCCTATTATGTCCTGTCTTAGAGTTTGGGTGGGGTATGTAGATTTTAGGTGTCTTCTTAATCTTCTATCTGGGGGCATCCAACCTTCCTAGATTATTTACATCTGCATTTGTACAGAGCTGGTTTCTGCTTGGGGGAGGGAGACTTGCGGCTATTAAGAAAACTGGGCATGCTTTTTTGCCTCTTTAAGATCCTTTGAGGAAATATATTTTTCTGCCCTTTTAATATTTCCTTCTCTGGGAAGCTGACTTCCCACAATACTTTTCTGCTTTTGCAAACTGTACGATTGCCTCTTGTTTTTATATTCTTTTGCAACATACTTTCATTTTACATAAATGGCACTATGCCTGAATATCTGAAAAAGAGCAAATGTGTAAGATGTTGACATGCAATAGGTTTTTTCAGGTTTTAACTAGTCAGTAAATGAGCCAATCACTCTTTTCCAGATTCTACCATCACCTATGCCCCCAAGCTTTTTAGTAAGTTTCAACTTTCATTTGGCACTCTTTGGCAACTACAAGTATGCTTTTCCTAGTTAGCTTGTAAACCCTGCTCCTCCTTTCTCAGGATTTTTTAACTTCTAAAAATAAAGGTATGGATGATGCAATTTTACCAAAATAAAAACAGCACTAAGAAAATGATTTTAGAGGAATGGCAATACATAATCGCTCTTATTTTCATGACATGATTACCTGTGGTTAACTGAACCATGATTTATACAATCCATTTTGTTTCATAAGAATTGATCACATCATGTTAACGTACATTAATTCTCTCTGTGACATTAAAAGAAAATCAGAAATAATGAAACTGACCTTTCAGTGTAAGTCTAAATTTAAAGCACCAGCAAATTTAGTAACTCAGGTCCCAAGGAGTGGAATGGATTTAAAGCAGGCATCCTCATGACCTCTATCAATGGCTCAAATAAAGTAAACAAAAGTCCAGAAACATGGTGTTTGCCTAGGTAGGGATATCATCAAAGATAAAGGAGGGCTGGGGGGGGGAGGGGGGATTCCAAAGAGTAGCTAAAACATTGGGAGTAGGAGTTGGGGGAGGGGAACAGCAGAATAATTGGGGAAAAGTTTGCCAATTTCTTTTGAATAAAGACATACTTCACTCTATGTGGATGTTTGATGGTCAAAGGCTCAAGGCTTTTGGTAAACAACTGCTAAGAGTAATTTTGTTGAGCACTGAGTCCAATAGAAAGCACACCTGGGTTTGCAAATACACCTGTCTTGAATTTCAAGTAGATATTATCTTATTAATAAAAGCTATAAATTAGCAAAATGGAAGTGGTACTTTCCAGAAATACATAAGCCAAAATATGGGCTGGTTTGCTCCTGATTTTACTTCCCATGTGACATGTGGAATTTCAATTTCCAAACAAGCTATATATAAATCTCAGCTTTCCATGCTCCCATTTTTGACTATACATGTTTATGTATTCAATATTTTATCCTGCCTTTTCACTTTATAAGTAAGCTGAGGTGAACATACCTAATATTTCTATTTTCTCCACAATGATCCTGTGATTATATATCTCTTACAGCATTTGTTCATAATGCAAAGAAAATATTTTAAAAATTAAAAACAAACACATTCCCATATCAAAATGTTGCCACAGTCCCTCAATATTTTACCAAGGATAAAATATAAGGTGTTTTGTGGGTGAACACTTTGATGTTTTGAGCCTTTTTAAATCTGTAAATTAGATAAGACTTGATGTTCCCCTCCCTTTCAAGGTATTTTTATTGAAGAACCAGGAAATCTGTCAGAATAGGTGGAAAAACGTATTAAGCGGTTTTTTTTTTTTACTTTTTGAACTATTGATATTTGTATTTTGAATATTTCAAGAAAATTCCGGGTACATTAAGAACAGGTGATAGTGAGATATTTGTAAAATAATTTCTCCAAGCCCGTTTCGAACCTACCGGCCTTTTCATTTAAATAGGTATAAAACCTAAAGGTGTTTGACTTTATCTCCCATTCTTTTCCGAGGAGGATTGGGTGCCCTAAATTTTCTTTTTATACGCATTATCTGTAGAACAATGCCACCCATCTAACGGCACATCTCAACGGCTGTTGCCTTATTCGTTAACAACCATTATTCTTTCGCTCAGCGTTACGCCAAGGCCAAGCAGCCATCGGTGAGAATCGCGCGGCCAGAATCATTAATAATGTATCCAGGACAGGAGAAGGGCGGGAAACCCGAAGCATTGGAGCGAGGAGGGGACGAACCACTCCAGCCGAGTACTTGCCCGCAACGTTCAGTGCAAAGCTCCGCCCTTACAACTAAAGGACTAAGAGAGTATTTTAATTTCGGCAACTAGGCCTCCTCATTGGTCGAGGAAGAAAAGGCGGGACGAATTCTGGCCAATCGAAGCGAACCAAGGAATGAAGGGTAGGGCTTCAACCTGAATGACAGCTCGGGAGATAAACAAGTCCCTGCGCGAGACTCTCCATTAAGCGAGCTGCGTAGCCCACTTTTCCCTCCAGAAGAAGGCAGCTGGTGGCAGGTCAAGTGAATAAGTTCGCTTCCTGGTTTCTCTACTGAGCCATCTGCGACTCGTTCACTCAACATGAAGAGTCAGCAACTTCCCAGCACCCACTCAGCAATAATCGAGGGAGCGCGCTGCAACGCGCAGGCGCTTGCTAGCTAAGGTCTTGCAAGCGGCTCTGGGCCTTGTAGTTCCGGTATTCCCAGTCTTCCCCAAGCGTCTGCGAATTCGCGCCTCCATCACTACTACCTGACCCAGAAGCCCTTGCGACTCTAACTCTTGGAAGCCGTGGTTGAAGCGGGTGGCGGCTGAGGGGACTCCCCCACCCCCCCCCAAAACCCAAAACAAGGAAATGGTGCCCAGTGTGGTGGCCTCGTGCCCTTGCGCCTGAATGCTGCCGGTCCGTCCCCCCCGCACACCGTTGTCCACCTCCCTCTCTTCCTTCTCTAGTCGCTCCTTCCATGGGTGAAAGACATGGACTACGAGTTCAAATCCAAGCTGGCGGCCGAGCGCGAGCGGGTGGAGGATCTGTTCGAGTACGAGGGCTGCAAAGTCGGGCGAGGCACCTACGGGCACGTCTACAAAGCGCGGCGCAAGGACGGGTAAGAAGAAACCGCGCGGCGGGGAGCGGGAAGAGTGCAGCGGCGGCGGCGGCCCAGGGGAACCGAGGTTAGGAGGCGTCGGTTCCGCAGCGACTGAACTTTCAAGCCCTGCTCCCTTCCGTGGTCCTGTCCCAGCAGCGGGGCTTAATTCCCGTACCCGTTGGGTCGGGACGGCTGGGGGGTTGGAGGGCAGGGCAGCTAACTGCAGGGAGAGCCCTTGGTGGGCGGATCTAAGGGTCACAGTAGGCGGGGCCAATGGTAGGCGGAGCCGGAGTCAAGAAACTACGAAAGTGTGAGTGCGAGACGGATTGATCTTGCCGGAATTTGACCCCAGGATAGCAAAAGCATCTTTGGTAGATTGACACTTTTCTGTTCCACCCGAATCTCGTGCAGGGAAAAAGTCAAACGCTCTCCAGATTGAAATCGAAATCAAATCTTTGTTTGAAAAACCGTGCTTAGCTCAGCAATTTTTGCGGTTAAGGCAAAAAGGAGCCTGCGGTCGTTTCTTCTGTGCTCCTTTATTCCTTCAACAGAAACAATGAAAGATCAGGAGTCATAAGTGTGAGTTTTCCTAGCGAGAAAGCGAACAAGTGAGAAAGAACTCTCTTTTCCGTTCTAGAGAACAGTAAAAGTCATGGGTACTTTTCTTCCTGCATGATCACAGCACCGAAGATTGGTTCCACAACATCCACAAACTTTTTGCGGAACGGACAGTTTGATCCAAATGCTTGCTGTGTGTGAACAACACAACATAGAGGACTAGTCATAGGACATTTTATCTTTTCATTTGCCCTCTTTTGGCAACTCTGTCAGTGGAGTCAACTTAGTTCACCAACTTCTTTCTTGCTATACTTTCTAGAAAAAATAAAGTGAGGAGAGATCATTTGTATAGTGCACAAACAGCTACTGCCTTTATACATTGTTTGGCCTCTGTTTTTCTTCAGGTTGAGTTCAAGGATGGAAGGGATTGCATGGCTGCTGCTGTCTCCTCACTCTTTGCAATGAATATGCATTCTTGTCACTGGTAGTGCAGCTGGAAGGATTAGGGATAGCGGGACCACCAAAAAGAATGACTTGGGTCAAAGAAAGCATTGCCTCTATGGTTCTTCTGTTTCATTCTGTGCTTTGAAGAAGTCAGCTAATTGGATCCAGTCCCCCCTTTCAGAATAGGGGTGGACTGAGTGCAGAGATGAAGCATCTACTCCCTGAAATCTCTTACTCTATACCAGTGATGGCAAAACTTTTAGAGGCCTGGTGCCCAAAAACAGGTCCCGCCCCCACCCTGCCCGCCCCACCCCCGCCTCACCCCATCCCGCTCCCCACTCTCTGCCTGCCTGCCCGCAGGACCACCCACTGCCTCCACAGCCCGCTACAGATCGCCCAGGCGGCTCAGCAGCACCATGGCAGCCACGCCCTCTGCCTGCACCCCGAAAAATCAACTGCACGCGACTGGACACGAGGGCAGAGTCTTGTCCCTGCTGCCTGGCTGCCATGTTCTTGGCTGCGCCGCTCCGCGTGATCTGCACTCAGGGGCGACTCTCCAGGGGGCTGCTGGTGAGATGGGAGCTGCAGGGGGAGGCAGGGCTGGGGCAATGGCACACGTGCCCACAGAGAGGGTTCTGAGTGCCGCCTCTGGCACACATGCCATAGGTTCGCCACCAGTGCTCTATACAGTAGTGGGCTCTTAGAAGTGGGAACAATTTATTGGGGCGGCTTGAAACCTTCCCTGCTGGCCATTGATTTTGCTTGTGGGAAGCCAGCAAATACCTATTAGATGTTGTGGCCATAATCATGACCCAGACACCCAAATGCCTGGATTGTGATCATGTGACCATGGGAATGCTCTGACACCTGTAACTTACAGAACTGGTTGCAAGTTATTTTCTTCAATGCCATCATATCTTTGAACAGTCAATGAATAAATGGAAGCAAGCTGAGGATTATTGGTACTATATCACCCATCTAGAAAGGGCAGAAGTGGTTGCTTGTACAGCATTTTTGTTTATTAATATCTCTCTGGGCAGGGAAATGCAAGGAATCTTGGGGCAGGATATCCTTCTTTCTACCACTATTTATTATTTATTCTACCACTATTTATTGGCGCCTGCCTTTAAAAATGAAAGTGCAAAAAAAAAAAAAAGCAAGGGAAACAGCATACCATGGAAATATCCCCCCCCCCAACCTTCACAAGATTAGTGGTATACGCCAGACTTTACATTTAAAAAAGAATAAAAAATACCCAGAAGTTCTAGAGAGCCAATCAATCAGAGAATGTAATTAGTTCTGCATGAGGGATGATAGATAAAGAGAAAGGATTTGAAAAATTCAGTGCACTGGATATTGAAGTGATTGGCGCCTGCCTTTAAAAATCATCAGATCTGATATAAGTAATCTTCAGTTAATGATGGTATTTGGAACCAAGAACTCTATTAGTAAGCAACCTGGTAGTAAAGTTCAATATCATATGACCATACTGACTCATATTGGCAATTCTAGTTGCATTCATTAGATACTTCCATACAATCATTAGGCATGACATAATGTGATTGCCATTTGTGACCACCTGCTGGCTTCCCATTAACTTAATCAATGATCATACGACTGCAGGATGCTGCGACCGTCATAACTACAATTGTCGTAATTGCAAGCTGTTTGCCATGTTCTGAATTGTGATCATGAATTGTGATCATGAATTGCAGAGATGCTGCAAAGGCCTATGACTTCAAGGACCAGCTATAAGTCTCCTTGTTTGGCGCCGTTGTAACTTTGAACAGTCACCAAACAAATGGTTGTTTATCAAGGACTACCTATACTGTGCTCAGATATGTGCATGCCAAATAAAACTATTAATACAAAAAGAAAGGATTCCTAGATACCACTCCACTAGAGGCACCTAAAAGTAGGAAACACTTTATCCATTAATGTTTCCTTGCCTTCTGAAGCCAGTGCAAAGGTGAGCTAATGAGAGCATGTGCCTCATTAGAATTAGTCCTTTATTGTCACTAGTTTGTGTCTTGTGTGTAAGGCCCCAGCTGTTGCAAATAATTAAATTTGCTTTGGGGCTCCTTTTGAAATTAAACATTGAAAACAGCCATTCGAGTTGTTTACAGCTTGATGTAGGACATGAGTTGTTTAAAAATGCACAAGTCGTAGAATACCTCCTTGTTGGATTGTTGGATATCTTGTATACATGTATACATACTTTGTTGACCGAAACATTTGATATTTAAATACTTTCAAAGTTGCAAGCTTTGTACAGATTTATTGAAAAAAAGACAATGAATATAGTGGCATTTATTTTTAAGTAAATATACATAAAATTGATCAGCATGACTTGGTGTTCTCCTTCCATGGGTCTCCTTCCTGCCAGCCCCATCCCTCCTGTGCCTTAAAAGGAAGCTGCCCTGTCAAGGATCTGCTGGGTTTTTGTCATGAACAGGATGCCTTAGCTGTGAGTTTTATGATTTTTTTAAATAGGCTTTTATATTGGTTTTTCTTCTTTTTAAATGGTTGGGTTGGTTTTTGTGTGTGTGTGGTTTTTCTATTGTAATTGTTTATAAGTTGCCTAAAGATATATATGAGATGGGAAGCTATATAAATGTGAATAATAAATATTCCAAGCTAACAATAATATCACAATCATATATTGATGGATCAAAATGCCTACTTCAAACAAAATTATAGCTTCCTAGCTCAGTAGTTTATTTGTTACCCATTTAACTAATATTTTAAAAGAAATTCTAGAAGTGAATTATGTTTGTATTTCAGAAGGTTTTGACAGTCATTGAAGTACTTGCAACATGGTAGTTGAAATAATTATTGTTTGTATAATAATGCTATTGATTAAAAGGAGAAAGGAAAGTCTATAATTAGTCAGACCTTTTAATATAGTTCTTTATGATGTGGAGCATTGGGCAGGTTTGGGAGTCACCATCCTATTATATTTTGCATATATATGAGGACTAATTTGTTATACTTATATTCTGTATTTTCTTCTTCAGTCTTCAAATGCTTTTACTTCCTTGTAGATGATGATCATGCCCACATCTGAAAAAATATTAGTCAAAGATCTGAAGGGCAACAGGGTAAATTCACATGTCTGACATTTGAAGAGGAATAATATATAAGCTTCTATACTAAAAGAAGTCTTCAAGTCAAGATGATGAATATATGGTTTAAACAGAAGGTATGGGCTAAACAGAAACCTGGGAGCATATATTTTTTGGGAGTCACTCCCTACATCATAGAGTGCAGAGTGCCATAATAAAAGCATAAAAAGACACAGACTTCATAGAATATAATAATCTCCAAAGTAATTTAATGATAGGAAACATCCTTTCATTTCAGAAACTGTCTAGATAGATGATTAAATTGTAGGATGACAACTGAGTTAAAGGAGTACTAGAGCTCAAAAGATTACAAAAATCTTTCTTTGTACTTTGATCTGATCCAGACCAGCTCCACTTTATGTTCTTAAAATTAAGGGACTTCTTCCTATTTTCCTTACAAACAGAGCAAATATGGCTAGAAATTGTGTCTCAAAGTCATCATTGTGATAGTTGCCAACTTTGAATAAAAAATGTCTAAGAAAGCCTTTACTGTTTTGATACCTTAGATGGTAGGAAATAGCAATGGAATTTACTCATTGCCAAGGTTAAGTGGGGTTGTTTTTAGTTAGTTAGTCAAGCATTTTATCTCTCCTTTCGTCATAGCTACTGCTGTAGTATTTTCCTTGGGTGAAGATTTGAGTAAATACATATTCAGACCAATATAGATCCCATAATTTTGTAGTAGGATTGACTTCGGCTTCTGAACAGTTTATACTGAAAAAGAAAAAAAAATGTTGGCAGTCTTTATAAATATGAAGATATGTTGGAAATATACATTGGAAATGCCTGTTGAAATTTTATTTAACTATGTGTCTGGCTTTTAAATGAACTTGTAGTTGAAGATGGAGGCTCAGAGAATGGTATACATTTCTTACATTCATGTTTGCTCTAAATTTTGCTCAGTTTGCATAATGTGTCCCAGTGGACAATTGGTTGCTACAAGTTGCTTCCATTTCTT